TAGTAGTAGTAGTAGTAGTAGTAGTAGTAGTAGTAGTAGTAGTAGTAGTAGTATCATTATTATCGACTTTGTTTATTTCTTATTATTTTCTGTGCTTATTTTTTTAAAAGCGTGTTATATTGCTGTTGTTGTTGTTTTTTCAGAAAAGCTTGGTGAAACGGACAACAGCTGCCATATCTCGCCCCATCGTAAGTTCTCCTGTCTCCTTGCCATCTGCATGGATTATTCTGCTTACAGAAGCCCGCAGGTCTTTACATAAGACAGGGTGTTTGTGTCCTCCTTTTGTCAATGGTGTCACGACGCGGTAAAATCAGGCGCTCGTCAATTTTGGGGCTTATGGAGTTATTGGTATCACCTGAAAACTGAAACCATTTGTCTTGAATAGAACTCAAGATATCTGCAATTGAAGGAAGTGAGGTAGCCTGGTTTCAGTGTTGAAATTAGCGAGAAAATGGCCGTCAAAGTTTGGCAACTCCAATTCCAATAGTTAAAGAGTCTTTGAAAACAGAAAAATGACACATTTTTTGTACCTTTAATCGATGTTTTCAGTAAAATTCACAGGGAAATATGTTTTTATTTGGACATAAAAGAGGTTTAGCCAAAACAAAAACAAAATTCGATAGAAATTTCCAAGCTAGCGGCAAAATGACGAGCGCCTGATTCCACCACGCTGCCTCACAATCGCAACGGGTGGGACTGGTTGGTACATTGTTTGATGCGCACGGGCCCTTTTATGGTGCTAAATCTAAAAATGGCCAAAACGTCATAAAATCGAAACTAGCAAACCTATTCTGATTGTTCTTCATCGAATGAATGAACTTCCGGTATAAGTACAACAGACCTGTTTTCGGCAATTGTCGAAAAGTAATTTGATGTCAAAGTCGTCGTAAAGGAATGTGTCCGAGCCGCGGTCACCATCTCGCCGACACAGTCTGTCCCCGTGGTTTTATGCACCCCGCATAATTTAGCCAAATTTGATCATTTTTTGCATAATTTCAGACTATTTTCCTTTACCATTCTTTGTTAAATTTAACAGAATCGCATAATTCCACATTTTTGGGCTCAGTTTGCAGAATTTCAGAATTTTTCTTGCTTAAAACGTCGGGGACTGCTAGATCTAGTAGCTTCCTAACCTAATAGTGTTGATAGGGGCGCTAAACCTACGTTAAACCTCTATCTTTTCAACATTTTCTGTCTGCAGGAGTTCAGCATCCTACTCTTCCTTTTAGTTATAGTAGAGGTTTTACGGCGCTCGCAACTGCATACGGTCATATGAGCGCCACAAGATTAGAGGTGTTACAAGAGAGTAACAAATATAAAAAAAGAAGAAGAAGGGGAGATAAGGACGATAGATGTTTGATAGGAAAGAAGGAGCAAACCACACCAGAGCACCCGCCAACCACCCACCCACTCTTCCTGCGTTAGTCCCGACAGGTGGGATCTAAGATCCTCCATCTTCTATAGTACTTATTATTATTGTTATTATCACATTTGACATGGAGATCCTCCATCTTCCACTGTACTTATTATTATTGTTATTATCACCTGTAACACGGACATCCTCCACCTCCCACTGTATCGCCAGTTTGCCGGTATCCAGGGCCGCAGTGTGACCACTTTGCCCGACGGTACACTGGACCTGGGGGACATGGAGAGCAAGATCCGACCCCTGGACGACGTCCGGCAGCCGAGGACCAAGCTCATCTGTCTGGAGAACACACACAACAACTGTGGAGGCCGCGTCCTGTCCCTGGACTACATTCACAAAGTCAGTTTGGCCCCGATTTTTAAAAAAATGCAGTATCGGTAATTACAATTTTACAGGAGAGCCAAAAGACTGGATATTCATCCTGTGCCAGATCTGCGACAGACATCGGCGATCATGGTTCTCAATTCATTCCTTTGCTCGGATTCTTTAAAAAAAAAAGCTACGTTTCCCTTATCTTTCCCTGGTGCCCATTTGTTCAGGTTCCCCAAGTATTTCGTTCTGGGCCTACCCCTGCCTCGCTTGCTCTCAGTGAGAGCTAGATGTTCAAGACCCTTATGTCTATTTATGTGTCCCAAAAACTGCATTTGTCGTTTCCTGATTGTTTTTAACATTGAGCGTCAAACATGGGCTTCATCAAGCACTACCTCTTTTAATTTCTTTTCCTTCCACGATACTCTAAGCAGTCTCCTAAGAAACCACATGGGCTGATTCATCAACGCCATGCTCATAACTGTGCCTGAACTACAACAGGGAACTGCTGCTTTTTCTTTCCTAATCCTTACTATTGTCCTTTTCACTCTACTTCTTTTGTATGTTTGTCACATTTTTTTACCGCTTTTTCCGGGGTGCCTTTACAGTCGAAGCAGACTTTGTGCTGTTGAAGCTAGAGAGGTGAGCAGAGAGAGTCTGATTCCCTGTAAGGACTTCTCTGTTGACATCCACCCCTTGGCGCTCATATGACCTTTTGCAGTTGCGAGCGCCGTAAAACCTCTACTAAAACTTTAAAAAACTAAAGCTGTGCTCTCTCTCTCTTTCTATCTTTCTCCCTCCCCCCCCTTCTCTCTCTCTCTCTCTCTCTCTCTCTCTCTCTTTCTCTCTCTTTCTCTCTCTTTCTCTCTCTTTCTCTCTCCCTCCCTCTTTCTCACTCTTTCTTCCCCTCCCCTTCTCTGTCTGTCTGTCTGTCTGTCTGTCTGTCTGTCTGTTTGTCTACTGTCTGTCTGTCTGTCTGTCTGTCTGTCTGTCTCTCTCCCTCTCTCTATTTAGCTCTCTGTCTCTCTCTCTCCCTCTTTCTCCCCCTCCCCTTCTCTGTCCGTCTGTCTGTCTGTCTATCTGTCTGTCTGTCTGTCTGTCTCTCTCTCTCATTCTCTCTATCTCTCTTTCTCTCTCTCTCTCTTTCTCTCTCTCTGTATCTCTCTCTCCCTCTTTCTCCCCCTCCCCTTCTCTGTCTTTCTGTCTGTCTGTCTGTCTGTCTGTCTGTCTGTCTGTCTCTCTCTCTCTCTCTCTTTCTCTCTGTCCCTCCCTCTTTCTCCCTCTTTCTTCCACTCCCCTTCTCTATCTGTCTGTCTGTCTGTCTGTCTGTCTGTCTGTCTGTCTACTGTCTGTCTGTCTGTCTGTCTGTCTGTCTCTCTCCCTCTCTCTATTTATCTCTCTGTCTCTCTCTCTCCCTCTTTCTCCCCCTCCCCTTTTCTGTCCGTCTGTCTGTCTGTCTATCTGTCTGTCTGTCTGTCTCTCTCTCTCTTTCTCTCTATCTCTCTTTCTCTCTCTCTCTCTTTCTCTCTCTCTTTCTCTCTCTCTACCTCTTTCTCCCCCTCCCCTTCTCTGTCTATCTGTCTGTCTGTCTGTCTGTCTGTCTGTCTGTCTGTCGGTCTGTCTGTCTTTTTCT